AGGGAAAGAATATATACAGTTGATTCTGGTATTTTTTCAGGTTTCACTATTCTGTTTGTATTCTTGATATAGGCAACTTCCTGGCCTTAGTGACCAGTGACCCTGATCACAAGCCAGAACAGGGAAACTGAAACCATTTAAACATTGACTCACACTAAGCAATCCATACAAATGCATTATCATTTGTTATTCCACGGCTGTACATTAACATTTTACCTTATTGCACATTGATTTTGGTTGGCACAACAGATACATACATATGTTGTGTGTGTGTAAGTTTGATCTGCAACTTTAAATTCTCAATTCATAGTATGAAATCGGAAATCACTTTTGGCAGCATAATAGATCAATTAATTATCAAATTACGGTTCAAATTAATCAATTTTCTGTTCTTTCAGATAAAGTTATTATAGTTGTCAATTTATGGATTCTGAGCGCAATGGAAATTTTGATAGTTATTCCTCAGAAAAATTGACCTTGCTGCAGTAATCTTTTTCTTATCTACAAGTCTACAACCAAAGATAATGATTCCACTGTTTTTACTGTTCATTCTACAGCATTTTTTTAATATTATTTTAAATAATCCCTTTTAGCTTTTCCCAGCTGAATGTGCAACCATGCTTTAGAAAAAAATTATGTGCCGAAGAAAAATTTAAGTATTCTTACAATATTTTTTAATTTAGAATTACTGATAAAAATAAAATCAAATATCTTTTTAGCTTTTTTTATCATAGGTCTTTTATTTAGGTATATCTAATACAGATTTTAAAATAATTATGAGCCGAAGAAAAATTTAAGATAATTTTAATTTGGTTTCTTAATATTGATAAAGAATTTACTAATTTGCTAACAAATCAGTATTAAAATAATTTATACAGAATTATTTCGATATCTAAGATGTGTAATTATATTTTTATATAATGCTGGTATTTTTTCATAAGACTTTTTATAACAATTTTTTGTTTATTTCTCTTCATTACTTTAGATATCTTAGTTATATCTCACAACATCTCTTTTCATTTTTCTCTTTATCTTTACAAGAATTAATATATTATACACAAGGTTGTACAAAGTACAATTTCATTTATTATAATAATTTAACCAAAATAATTTAGACCAAGATTTTGTCTCACAGATGTTTGGCGCGACACAAGCTTTCCATTTTGTGAAAAAGTTTGAAATAAGTCACGAATTTTGTGTGTAAAAGCTTCAAAAAATTAACAAAATCATTTAAATATTTTCTTTAGTAATAAATATTGATCATTTAAGTCTCTAAGTTTATGCGTTTTAATAGAGTTTAGGAATTTTCTCACACGTAGTTTTCAAAGTAATAAAATTATTTAAGTAATATCTCACTATATATTCATATCACTTTATACTCCCTAAGTTAATGTATTTTAGAAAAAAGTTAGAGAGTGATTCGAAGAATCCTTTAATATTTAGAAATACTTGGCATAATTATTCAGTAATTCTAGATTTTCTCAAGTAGTTTTTCTTATTAAAAATTAATCAACAAATATTAATATGCTATTTAACAAAGCGAGAATAAAGGTTTAAATATAAGTATGATAAATAATATATAATATAACACAATAATAACTTGATAAGTTGATATAATGATTAAGTACTATGTTCTCATATGTTATGAAAACAATTTATTCAGCAAAAACTTTTTAGATGTGTAAAAAAAACTTTTAAAGTAGTAACATTTACAATATTATAAGTGAAATTAGTGTCTAAATTTATTAGACCGAGAAATATACCTCTACCAAAAAAAAATATGTAATAGAAGAATAATATATAACAAATTAGTACTAGGGTGTTTAATATATAGATACGTCTATATATATCATTACTATTTTTTTTATTTAAGTATCCATGAAAATAATAAATCTTTCACGACAAGACATCAGTGTATAAGAACACATACTTTGTTACTTAATAGTAATACACTACACGTGTAAGGCATTTGACGAGAACATTAATGGCCTTATGATCCCTGAGAGGTATTTGACAACGCTGATCATAATTAGAAACTCAAAGTAACAACTGAAAGATATACATAACATAAAGAAAGGAAATTAAAACCACAAAACAGTTCTTAATTAATGGTTTATGAGTTAACAACAGAACATTTGTTCCTTATTTCTCCGGCAGAGCCAGTAAGAACCTCAATGGCTCCCAATCTCTTCATTGACTGTGCGAACTCAGTGAAGAACTTGGCTTCATCAACCAATTCTGCAGCAATACCTGCTGACTGATCTTGTGTTAGAAGGGCAGCGTCTGATTGGAACAAACCCTTTTTCTGCAGAAGGTTAGGATAATAGTCATTATCAAAAGTCTTTGAGCTACCAGGATCCATTTCAACCGTTGTAGTTGTGTCACTCAAGCTCTGGCACTTTGTCTTCAAGAATGCGGCATAAGTGGAATTCAAAGAAGGGTCTTGATCACCTTTTCCAGTGAAATTATAAAGCCTGCTACTGAAAGCGTTGCAGTGCCCTATTCCAATTGTGTGTGCCCCTACATTTATATCAAAGTTATATGCATATAAGAAATTCGAAATTGAGTTTATTATTTGTAATTCTCTTGTATAATATTGTCAACTAATTTCAAATGATGATATGTATAATAAGTTTGTTAATTTTTATAAAAATTATATTAAAAAATTATACCAGCAGTGATTTTTTTATTGATTGAGGGTGTAAAAGCCTTGGTCACAATGCAAGTCGACGATTAAATCTTATACATATTGGTGTGCAGCAGATATTAATATTGTTAATGTTAATTACCTGATAATACAACCAGATCGTGCAAAGTGAGACCTTTGCTAGCAAAGCTCTGTTTGAGTTGGGTGAAGTTGAAGAAAGGTGCTGGGATATTAGCCAAGGCTTCGCTACTTTTCGATACCGTGCAATCTCTTCTACCAGTGAGCACTTCCCACATAGGTTTATTAAACTGCAAAAGTTATTCATATATATCAAGTAAACATGCATGCATGAAGCAATAACCTAATTGGTAGGGTTAGCTTACTTGGACGGAAACAGCGTCTCTAGTTGCCAATGTGAGTATGTCAGCACAAGATACAGTTTTGGGACATTTTGCCTCCACCGCACTTTTTATGTCATCTATGACATCAAAGCCAGCCAAAGTTAAATTTGGAATTGCATCCTTCTCTGCAGTGTTATTGGCAGTAGAGTTCAACAAAACCGAGCCATCGCAACCCTGAAATGTACGTTTGAATAATAACCATGTTATATGCATATTATTGAATTGTTATGTAGCCCCTAAACAACTATAGGTCTTTTGCATGTTGTAATGCCACATGAAATTTGTACGTGTATATATCAAAACTGGATAAAAATATCCGTAAAAGGAAAACATAACTACGTAAAACAATCGTGGAATTAATATTAATATTAATACTAATATACCCTGACAAAACAATCATGAAAATGCATTCGAAGCAACTTAGCCGGTAAATCAGGATTAGCAGACACATGCTGCTGGGTTTTGTTCTTAATAATGTCCTCAGCTTGAGGGCAGGAATCCTGGTAGAACTTTTTCCTTAGGTTGCCTCCTTGACAAACCCCAAGGAAACACAAAAGTGCCACACAGGTTACAAGCAAAATTCTGATATTCATATTCAAATAATTTGCAATGCTTCACTTCACTCACTTCCCTATAGTAATTATACTTTATAACTTGAGGAATGCAATGCTTAGCTACAAGGACCTTGCTTCCTTTTATAGACATTATATACCATATTTCTAAAGCATCATGAATTTTATAATTGTGTGAGGGAGAGATTAATTTCTAATTATTAACCGGCCGGTGCCCTTTTAACATGTTGGACAACTATAATTTCATGCATCTCTTCGATCATTGGACGCAAATATGCACGTATAAAGGGCATAGCTAGCTAGTTTCATTAAAATAAGCACCTGCCAATGAATAGATAGACGACACAATTTAAAAATTAATAGAATGTCAACTCAAAGAAAAATCAACTTAAAACCCCGCTGTCTTTCAATTCTATTGCGTTAGAACATGCCAGCCTTATATAATTGTTTTCTTTTCTTGTTATAATCTTCTTAGGTCAACCCTGTTTTAAAAAAACTTTGATTGAGCTTGTCGCGCGATTAGAGAACTGGTGATGTTAGTTACTTGCTAAATATGCACGTCCCTTAATATATATCAAATCGAACGAGTTAATAATAGTGAGATGCAAATGCAGGAGAATATCGTAGCTAGTCTTTAGGTTAGCACACAACACTTGTATATATTTTACATTGATTGAGTTATTCTAAGCATTAGCTATATGCTACCATATTAGAATGAAAAATATATGCTTGGCCAAAACGAATAGCTGGGGACCAATTCCCATCTCAAGAGTTATGTAAGTCGCTTATATCACAATATATATATGTCATTTATGTTCATGTAATAGGCACCTCAACCTTTAGTCGTTAAAATTGCATATCTTTGAATTCGATAAACAAAGTATAAAAAATTAGAAGGGGGCAAAAGCATGACCTAGTTTCATGTGATTATAAGGTTTTATTTAGAAGATGGTTATTAAAAATGATATAGCAAACATATAGACTTTGTTTAAATATATATAAAGCTAGTTATAAAAATATGTTTGTGCTCAATTCAAAGGTTGAGTTAAAGCTTTCAATAGGAATAAATGAAGTTGGAGTTCTATATTGTTTTGTCCGGTAAAGAAAGTGAGTAAATTCGATATTTGAAGATATTTCATATTTGTCTATAGTATAGATATATACATCATGTAAACAGTTGTATAAGCTCTGTTGTTTCTTGTGATCGAAGGTAACGACACCAGTTATTTGCAATCCAAGAAGGGTATAATTAAGAAAACAAAAGAAACGTTCAATAACCAAAGTCAATGCTTATCTGTGTCAAAAACATTGTAATTCATTCTTAATTTCTAAGTTTGTCTTCTAGCTAGTTCCGCTGCACATGGTTGCTCAGGACTTTAATTAGGATGTTGTCTTTCGACACAAATGGTATAGGTATATATATACATTACCCTTCACTGGTATACAGGTATATATATATATATATGGAGTTAATAATCATTCATACATTGTCAGTGTAAAATTTTTTATACCGATAACCAATCATATCTTTTAAATTATTTTATTTTGTTATTATTTCATTAAATAAACAGCTGACATGACACTATTAAAAGATATGATTGATTGTCAATATAAAATTTTTTTACATTGATAGTGTATAGATAATTAATTTATATATATATA